TTGCGTAGCCTCGTCTGACATAATCACGTGTTGCGTAGCCTCGTCTGACATAATCACGTGTTGCGTAGCCTCGTCTGACATAATCATGTGTTGCTTAGCCTCGTCTGACATAATCACGCGTTGCGTAGCCTCGTCTGACATAATCACGTGTTGCGTAGCCTCGTCTGATGTAATCACGCGTTGCGTAGCCTCGTCTGACGTAATCACGTGTTGCGTAGCCTCGTCTGACGTAATCATGCGTTGCGTAGCCTCGTCTGACGTAATCACGCGTTGAGTAGCCTCGTCTGATGTAGCCTCATCTGACGTAATCACGCGTTGCGTAGCCTCGTCTGACGTAATCACGTGTTGCATAGCCTCGTCTGACGTAATCATGCGTTGCGTAGCCTCGTCTGACGTAATCACGCGTTGAGTAGCCTCGTCTGATGTAGTCTCGTCTGACGTAATCACGCGTTGCGTAGCCTCGTCTGACGTAATCACGTGTTGCGTAGCCTCGTCTGACGTAATCACGCGTTGCGTAGCCTCGTCTGACGTAATCACGTGTTGCGTAGCCTCGTCTGACGTAATCACACGTTGTGTAGCCTCATCTGACGTAATCACGTATTGTGTAGCCTCTTCTGATGTAATCACGCATTGCGTAGCCTTGTCTGACGTAATCACGCGTTGCGTAGCTTCATCTGACATAATCACACGTTGTGTAGCCTCGTTTATTCACATCAAACAGTCAAGAGAGAAACTAGATGAAAACAGTCTAGATTCGAATTTTTATTTATTAAATTTTTTGCGAATTTTGAAAAGTTMGATAAAAATTCACTCTACGACTGGATGGAAACAGGGTTAATGGTGTGTCTCCTGTGGGTCGTATACAGACCCCCCCACCCCCCGCCTCAAGTGTCAGATACGGTTCTGAAAAGATGTATTTTAAAATGTCTCCAAACTTCAATTAATGCATAATTTAAGTTGGTTTGTAGTTTGAGATCTTCATATTAATATTGTAGTGTTATACAACACTAAAAGAAAATTTAATTTAATCTAACCAATTTATGTCGTTAGTTACATTTCAAATTTAATTCCAGTTCAAGCAGATAAGCCTATTGTCAACATAATTATGGAGTGTGATTTATTTTCAACTCTAAATATCTTCAAACTAATGAAATATAAAGTTATTAATGAAGAAAACCCGTCTGGATAACATCAGACTGACTTGTGTGAATTGTGTAGCCTTGTCTGATGTAATCAGGAGTTGCGCAGACTCGTCTGACGTAATCACGTCTTGCGTAGCCTCGTCTAACGTAATCACGCGTTGCGTAGCCTCGTCTGATGTAATCACGCATTGCATAGCCTCGTCTGATGTAATCACGCA